AACATATTCTTTCATTTATTATTTCTGTTTATTTTTACTTTTCATTCATTGTTTGCATCATCTTTTTAATTATATTTCGTCATTTTATACTGCGTCAATCAATCCTATGGTTTCTTCGGCCTTTTAAATCCATCATCATTTTTCCTCGTCGTCGTCGTCCTCCTCCTCCTCCTCATTATCATTATTATTATTATTTGTGTATGTTATGTTTCCTGCTTTATATCTTGTAGAGCCGTATCCAAACTATGGTCCTGAGGCCCTATACGAGAGCTATCATTTAACTGATAGCCCTTTTTTTAGTATATGAGATGTTCCTAGTAAGGCGATCTTCTGAACAACTTGTATGTTGATGTTATCTAAGACACAGTAAAATTGTCCATTTCTTTTCTCACGACCCCCAGAACTTTGATTAGTCTTAGTATAGTCGCAGTTTTCACTCCCCTCATCCTGTTATTCTCGATCTCCAGATCCTTGTATTTGGACAATTTCTCGATAGTTTTCCTGGTAGGAGTTTCTCTCAGGTGATACTGTTATGTCAATAAGCATACACTTCTTGATTTTTTGTCTTTTATCTTAATATCAGGCATGTTGGCTTTCATTTTCCTGGCAGTTTGAATTAGCATGTCCCAGAGGATAGTTACATTGTTATTTTGGATAAATGTGTCTGGTTGGTGCTCGTACCATCTCTCAGTGGTTTCGATTTTATGCTTCTTGCATATCTTCCAGTGCACATATGTCTCCACCTTGTTAGGCTCTGTGGCTATATTCATTCATTGCTAGCTCCGTATATCATGAGACAATATGGTCGACAGTTTCATCATATTTTCCACAGATCCTGCATTTCGAATTAGTTCCATCATTGATGATGTGACAGTGATAGGATTTTGTTGCGAAGATTTGGCCCTGAGTTGCAATAATAAGGCTTTCTGCTTCAGCTTTCAATCTGGTGATCCTCAGCCACTCATGCAATTTCTGTTGGTCCACATCTGCTTCTTTTCTCCTTTTTAGCTATTTCCCATGCAACGCCTTGTCCTGTAGTTCTTTTGTAATTTTATTTGGCCAAGTTGTTCTGCTTTCTGTTTTACTCGTTTAGCGTAAATGGTACTTGCTTCGTTTTTTGTTGGTAGGATTTCAGTTATATGAAGCTGTTTCTTGAAGAATTCAGCTTCTTTGTTGATGGAGTGGATTTAGTGTTATACTATTTGTAGGAGAAGGTCATTAGTTTTTGTAAGGTATGCTACCAATCCGAATGTTGTAGTTTTTAGAATTAGTTCAAGTTGGATTTGATATCGACCTCCTAAAGCTCTTGGTACTTACAACTTATCAACATCTGATTTCGGGTGGCGTATCCTCATTTGGGTAAGCAGGTTTCTGGTCTTAGTGTTCACTCTTTTAATATCATTTAATTTTCATTTAATAATGTTGAAGTTGTATGTTACTACGGATATAGCTAAGGTGTTGTCAGCCTTCATTTTATTGGCCCCATTAAGTTCACTTTCTAGTATCAAACACACTCTCCTATAATATTCTTTTCCGATCTTTTTCTTCATAATTGAATGTTGTATTCCGTCTCCTTCATTAATTACTAAGTATTTGTATGTATCACCTTGGTCAAGTTCTTTAATCTTCTTATTGATATCAAGGTCTAAATCTTATCAACTTTGAATGTGGCTTTGGCACATTTGTCGATTCCGAACTCCATCCTAATGTTTCCTTGAAGGTTGTGACAATGGTGAGTAGGTTTTTTTGTTAGCTATCATCTTTGGCAAACGTTTTAAGATCATCAATATTATTATTATTATTATTATTATTATTATTATTATTATTATTCAGAGTTAATTCTTAATGTCCTGCGTTGCTTATTCATGGAACCGAGTACACCTATTCGATTTGGGACATCCATGAGAGTGTGATGGGTTTATTAGATGGGCAGATTCTTCCTTAATATATGAGCATTGATGATGATGATGATGATGATGATCTCCCAGGCTTCTTGTATTTTGATGTTACCAGAGATTTAGAGTTCAAGTTGGATTACACCTCGGCCTCCCAGAACCTATCAACATCTGATTTCGAGTGGCGTATCCTCATTTGGGTAAGCAGTTTTCTCGCCTTGGTGTTCACTCTCTTAATATCATTCAACTTCCATTTAATAATGTTGAAGCTGTATGTTACTACGGCTACAGCAAATGTGTTAATAGCCTTCATTTTATTGGCTCCATTAAGTTCGCTTTCTAGTATCAGACGGACTCTCCTATAATATTCTTTCCCGATCTTTTTCTTCATAATTGAATGTTGTATTCCGTCTCCTTCATTAATTACTAAGTATTTGTACGTATCACCTTGGTCAAGTTCTTCTTGATATAAAACTCTAAATCTGCTTTTCATACGTTTTGTCTTTATCTACATTTCATCTTTTGTCTCTCAATCGCACTCTTTCTTTTTTTTCTTATCAATTCTCATTCGTGATGACTTAATTTCAATTTATCGCTTCTCATTTCATAGTTGCCGTACTTTTAATTTCCTTTCTTCTCATCTCTTTATTCTTGGGTATGACGATAAACTACACTCGACAGCAAAGCTTCTGATCGGGAGATTGGAGATTTTGATGAGCGTGGACTCACCTCTTTATTTCTATTGTTTCCAGGTTCACCATAACACGGGGTGGTAGCACCTATTAGGGACCCAGCTATGGGAAAATATTGAACCCACAAACAAAAACTAAACAAAAATCTATGAAAGTATAAAAAAAATACCAGCATTACATTTTTATATAGTAAAATGATCAAGAATACCTATTTATATTAAAACAAGAAATAATACCTGTTTATAGTAAATGAACAACAATACATGTTATTGGTAATTGAAGGCATAGAATTGCATCCAAATATATTTAGATGAAGCTATAACATTGTATTCAAAATATTTAGATTTCGGTATTAAATAACCCATAGAGTTTGATATGCCGCTAAACAAAATCAGCCAATCAAAATGAAAGAACTCTTTCATGATGTTAATCGATATACTATCCTACAATTTCTTGAAGAAATTAAGTTGTATTCCAAAAAATGACTTTAACAAAACTACAACATAAACACTTATAACACCGCGTCTAGTTATCATGTCCACACAAACATGTATATGCGAAAAAGCTGAGTATCATGTACCATATATTCAATTGTGATGGTAGAATAACATATATCGAATCTTATTACATCAAAGCTCCTATGAAAATGAAATTTCGGCAATAAATGACCTATGAAGGAGTTGATGTGCCGTTAAACAAACAAATCAATCAATTTTCTCGCGTCTCACTTTCAATTTTTTCCTTTGTATTGCCTCTCTGACTTCCAAATTTCCTTTTTTTCTTCATTCCCCTTTTTCATTCTATTCGTCTTCGGCATTCTTTTGCCTTTCAATCTCATTTTTAAATGAACTATTTGTTGTAACCTAGGGAAGGTTACTGAATAGAATAATCACACGAAGGTTGGTAATGAACGATAATACTTAGGACAAGAACAACACATATAAGATTCGCTCGCGGTGCGTAAAAGTAGTAGTCAACTGCTAGAAGTGAGTCAAGTAAATCCCACAATAAATCTCCAACTGCAGGATATCTACCAACTGCCCCACGCAGTCAGATTGACACAAGGCCGAATTTAATGTGGGGTATCTGAGCCTGTAAGCTCGACCAAAATTTCCCCTAGACCCCGTATAAAACTGGATCGGGTAGCAGTTTCCCGAGTCGAGACTGTACCCTTCGACATGGCATCGTCTGGGGATCCTCTATCCGGAAGCAGAGAGTTTGACCAGCACAGCTGGAGACGAATCTCCAGCTGCATGATATCTATAAATCGCCCCACGCGGTCAGACGTGGCACAATGCCGAATTTAACGTGGGGTATCCGAACCCGTAGGCTCGGCCAAAAATTCCACAGAGTCCGGTAGCTGTTTCCCGAGACGAGATTCTGGTCTTCGACATAGCCTCGTCCGGAGGCACAGAGTTTGACCAGCACAGCTGGAGACGAATCTCTGACTGAAGACCAACATACAGTATTTACTACTCTATTTATGTGAATGGGGACATACTTATTATCGTCCGTAGGTATGCTACAACACTTTTGTTATTTGCTTTTCGTTATCTTTCTTTCTTTTCTTACCTTTTCTTACGTTTCTTTCTTTCTTTCTTTTATTTATTCTGGCCCCTCACTTATTTTTCTTTTCTTTCTTCTCGTTTTCTTTTCATTTTACTTTTTTTCATTCCACTTCTTTCACTTTTGCTTCTTTCTTCTCATTTCTTACACAATTTTCGTGACATTATCTCTTACCGTTTTCCCTCTTTTTTCAAAATCCCTTCTTTCTTTCTTTCTTTGATATAAAAATAATAAGGGAACTGATCCTAAAAGAGCCACTATTATAATGCAAAGAAGCAGCAACTAAACCATGATAATAACAAAAATGGTAAAAGTATGGTAGCCCATTCAGAACAAATAAGTCCAATGTGAAGAATATGAAGAGAAGAAGGACAAAGAACTTTCCATCGACTCTCACAGTTATGATCTGGTAAACCAACAAAGAAACATATTCTTACAGAGTAAAAGAAATGAAGACATGGTTGCGTGTGATCAACGGGACCAAGAAGAATCCGAAACGTCCAACGAAGACGTAACAATGGAAGAAGAATTCTTTGAGGACAACATCGGACGGGAAAGATCGAAATCTCCAAGAAACTGATTATGATCTCAGGGAAAGGAGAGAAGAAAAGCAAATAACTCCTTAAACGAAACAACATATAAAAAGAAGCACAAGACGTATAAGCGGGATGTTGCCGGGAAATCTAGTGATATGTTTGCATGTGATTGGTTTGCCTGATTTACATTATCTAAGAAGGAGAATATAAAAGGCATTCATGAAGTAGGAAAAAAAAAAGAAGTGGGAAGATATCAATCTCATGTAAGTAAATGTACTAAGCGACCTGTGAAGACCAATGTATACGCAGGCTTACGGCTATATCACGTTGAAACACCGATTGTCGTAGGATCACCAAAGTTAAGCAGCGTCGAGTCTGGTCAGTATCTAACTGGGTGACCTTTTGGGAATGCCAGGTGCTGTAAGCTTGGGCATGTGGGAAGTGTAATGCATAACATGTCAGAATTCGGAGAGCCGAGTTCAAATTCAAATCAGGTTCGTTATGCTCAAATACCATTGGGAAAGGCATGAATCTAATCTCCCTAGCTATATTTTTTTTACAATGATGTTCAATCTGTAAAAGGCCTAAAATCCACTCGAGTGTTACAGAGTAAGAGGAACACTTTATACGGATAACGGTTAACATGAACATCTTAAGATAGTAGTGATCGGGGAAACAAAGCAACGGTTCATGCAAAGAAACTCTTGGAGTGGAACTTATATCTCACGAATGGAATAAGGGTGGTTGGTTATAATAAGCATGACACGGCGGGTTTTTAGTAATATCAGTAAATCATTATTATCTCCAAAAATATCTTTTAATCTAAAAATATTTCCTGGCTTTAAATAACATATAAAAAGATGGTAATCCGTAAAAAACAAATACACATAGAAATCAATGAATTCGAATCAGAGTACTGTATTTCTTTCTTTTCTTCTTTGTTTGTTTCTCTCTTTCTTTTACCCTCTCTTTTATTGTCAAGGCTCTTAATTCTTATTTCTCTTCTTTTAGCCAATACCGCGTTATATTTTTTAAAATCATTTTAGAGTCTAAATGCGTTTCTATAGTCGGCCATTTTGTTACAGTAGACTAAGGCGAAACAAGATGATAACATTCTGATTTATTTGTACTGACCAATCGTTTTCTTTCTTACTTAATTGTTTCACTTCTTTCCTTATCCAATCATTTCCTTCACCACTTCCTTTTACCTTCCTTCCTTCCTTCCTTCCTTCCTTCATTCTTTCAAGTCTGCTTTATTTTTCTTCTCTATATTCTTTTTGTTTTCACTTCTTCTTTTCCCACATGTCATCTTTCTTTCTTTCTTTCTTTCTTTCTTTCTTTCTTTCTTTCCGTTGTCTCTTTTTCTATCCACTAGACGAGAATGTTGTCCTCCTTGTGACTACAGCCCCTCCCTTTTTCACCTGATGCGTTTTCCGGCACAGTCCTGAAGTGTGAAGTACTTAAGACCAATTTTCATGCTGTCTTTATTTTCCTAAACTGGGCAGGGAGCCGGCGCCAGCTTCATTTATATTACGGAACGAACCCGGAAACAAACAACTTGCAGAGACTGAAAGTAATCCACAGAATTTAACTGAAATTACAGAATCAGATCTTTCTATTGATAATGACACAGTGAATAGCATTGTTGGACAAGCGATGTTTTTCTTTTGAAAACTTACGAGAGAAATTAATAGGCTGAACATTGACTATTAGAAAGAAGAAAGGAATGAAGGAAGGAAGGAAGGTTAATAACAGGATAAAATCAGCGGTAGTGATCAGAGGAGGAGCTATTAACAGAGATGACAAAAAAGGCAGTAGAGAACAGAAACGAAGTCGCAAAAACAGACAGACAAAACAGAAAGAGGAAAATAGAAAGAAATAAGGAAAACAAATCGAAAAATCTAGAAATACATTTTCTTTAAATCTGTAAAAATTGATTACGATATAAAGTGATTATTTTTGGGTATTATTATTATTATTGTTATTATTATTATTATTATTATTATTATTATTTTATTTCTTTTGATTTCTGGTGTTTACACATTTCTTTTCGGGTCCCGCCCAGAGACCTAAGGTTAAAAATGGTATCATGATATTTTCCACTGAACATTTGAAACACATATACACATTTTACATAGATAAAGCCCTTCGTAAGGTGTGGGCTGTACTCGTGAGAACAATTTTTTGTATTTCTTTAAGGCATGGGATTCCAGGAATCCCTTCAATTTGTCTACTGGAATCTTTCCCAACCAATCCGAGGGCTACAACTACAACAGGGATTATTGATGTTCCCATATGCAACACTTCTGAGATTTCGATTTCAAGGTCCTTGATAGTTTTTTGAAGATCTTCAAAAATACGTTGAAGTCTGCAGGGATTGCCATATCAGTAAGTTGTTGTTGTTGTTATTATTATTATTATTATTATTATTATTATTATTATTATTATTATTTTCTTTGATTTCTATTGTATACTCATTTCATCCAGTGTACAATCAAGAGACCTAAAGTCCAAAATAAAAAAGGCAACCTAAGATCAAACACATTTTGCATAGTTAAAGCATTTCTTAAGGTGTGAACTGTATTTGTTCGTACAGCTTGTATTATTTCTTTAAGGCATGTGCTTCCAGGAATCACTTCAATGAGTCTATCTGAATCTTTTCCAATCAGACTGAAATCTCCAACTACAACTGGAATTATTGAAGCCCTCATGTGCCACATTTTTGAGATTTGTACTTCAATATCCTTGTATTTTGATAGTTTTTGAAGATCTTAAAAGAAACATTACAGTATGAAGTAAATACTATGTTCATAAGAAAGTCTTCTTCTTATTATTATGGTAATAATAATAATAATAATAATAATAATAATAATAATAATAATAATAATAATAGTAACTTATATCCTCCCTAACTCTTACGTGTTTTGGCCATGGAATAATGACTATATTTTATCGCGTAAGAGAAGCTTAGGCACAATTATTATTATTGTTATCATTTCCTTTGATTTATGAGAACTAAGGTAAAAATGGCTTCCTAATATTTTCCACTGATCATTTTTTGTAAAAAAAAAATCTAAGATTACACATATTTTACATAGATAAATCTCTTCGTAATGTGTGTACTCGTGAGTACAATTTTTTGTATTTTCTTTAAGGCATAAGCTATCAGGAATCACTTCAGTGAGTTAAGTGGACCTTTCTCCAATGAAACCGAGGGCACCAACTACGACTGAAGTTATTGCTGACCTCATGTGTCATTTTTTTTTTTTTTTAGATTTAATTTCAAGATCCTGGTATTTTGATAGTTTTTTTAATGTATTGTAAAGTCTCATAGAATTGTTACAGGTCCGACCACTGTAACCCGGTCTGGATGATATTGATACAAGTTTCTTGAGTTTCCTTTCTGTAAAAGTTACATATTTTCCAATGTAGATATTGGCCCACTCTATCATGACCAGTTTTATATTGAGTGGGTGCTTACACCGTAATGTCTGATACAAGATGGCCAATTATTTCTGGATATTTACCATAGAATCTGCATTTGAAGTCAACACAAGTTTTCAGTATCAGTGCATGGTAATTTCTAGTTAACAGGCATTGGTCCCGTGCAGCAATGATAAAACCTTCGGTTTCAGCTTTTAATCCTGCACTACGTAACCACTGAGTACGAGGTTTGTCTACATCAGTTTGATCGGTAGAGACAGGACCATAAAGAGGCCTCTCTTGCCATCGTTTCTGTATTTGGTTCATTGCATTTGCTTTTTAGGTACTTTGCTGCTGCAGTCGGTGTATTATGATTTTTCTGCACTTCTTCACTCACTTGAAATTCATTTTTGGATTTTTTGGTCTCCTTTAATACTGAATAAAATTTCTTATTTCTTTCATCTTCGATACAGATCATCATCCATTCTTTTGTAAATTCCAGGTATATTTGAAGACAGTACTAGTTGAACTAATCCTCTGCCTGCTTCGAATCTTGACACATAAGATACGATCAACATCAGCCTAAGGATGTTGCATGTGATGGCAATTGAGAAGGTTTTCTTATTTTGACATCCACTGGCTTAATGTCAGCCATGGTCCAGTTATCTTGAAACTGTATTGTACCACGGGGCAGTCAATATATTTAGAGTTGATATTCTGTTTTGTGAATTCAACTCTCGGTATTTAGCACCAGGCGCACACGCCTGGAGTATTCTTTTCTTACTTTCTCTTTCATTTGGCTATGCTGTATTCCATCTCCTTTACTTACGCTCAGATATTTATAAGCTTCTACTTGTTTAAGTTCCCTAATCTTTGCCAGAGAATCTAGAGCGATTCAGTGTGTTTCTGTAAATCTCCCTTTCTTGAATGTTACTTTTCTGCACTTATCTAATCCTAAGTCCATACCGATGTCATCACTGAAACATTTTACAGTATTGAGGATACCATTCAACTCACTGTCGAATGAGTTTGCTATCACCTATGTAGAATAGGTCGTTAAACCTTTTCTTTTTTTACTTTGTATCCATAATTATTATTGTTTATTTAATGCGATAAGAGAATTAAGGACAAACAAAACAGAAGGGTTTACAGGGAGTCTCTTTGAAAGATTCCTCCTCGGATATTCAAACAGTTGGAAGTAGCATTGCCTTTTGATATGCTTTAGGTATAATGTCGTTTTACACAGTTCATTACTATATTTAAAGAAATTTAGTATCACCGAGGAGACTTCATAAATTTTCAAATCCTTACCCATCCAAGTGTGTGGCACACTATCAAAGGCTTTACGGTAATTTATCCCAGCTGTGCTGAGATTTCTACTTTTTCTCCTGCAATTTTCCAGGATCATTTTATTTATTAGCAATTGATCTTAGCAATCATAGAAACCTCTTCGACATCCCTTCTGTTCTAAGAGAAGAATGATGTTTTACCTCGAGAAAAAAAGCAAGTTCTCTCTTGCGTTGTTTCGTTTATGTCTGACTACTATGTTTATGTTCTATAGTTTTTTTTTATCTCTTCACATTTCTCGTTAAGTCAGTCATCTTGCTTACATTTAAATTGTTAACTATCACCTGGCCTTTAACACAGTGTGACTGTTAAAGGAACAGATATTAAGAGAGGTTTGTGAGACGTTTATTGTTAAGATTTTATATTAAATAAAAAATTAAATATATAAACTAAAAATGATATGGTGAACAAAGGTTTAGAAATGCAATCTGTACAGATCAATGATGCTGTTTAAATGTTCCTTTAGGGCAATAGTGGACACCTGAAGCCTGATGGGCCATTTGTTGATTGGGAAACATCAAGTGAAGATCTACAACCACGGTGTTAACGTCCCACATAATCGGGCTACAGAACGTCAACTGCTGATGTAAAGATCAGTGTCGGTAATGCCCACACTGATCTCCACCTTAAAATAAAACTAGTTGAAAGCTATTTC